GTCAGCAGCGGCCGCAATCCCCAGCGCGTCAGGACGTACGCGCGACGTCCCGGCAACGCCACAATTCTCCGCGGCGCCGCGGTTCTCAGGCGAACTGGGCGGCGCAATGCGGCGGCCGAGGCGGCTGATGGGGGCCGCGTCAGCGGGATGGCGGCTGGGGGTCTAATCAGCCGGTGACGATGGCTGATCTGCAGCGCGCGGTGTCTGCTGCTGTGCGCGAGGAGCAGAACGGGCAGGCGAGCCAGAGCAACTCCCCGCGTGTTGCTCAGTCCCCCGCGGCACCTCCTCCAGCAGCACCTCCTGCCCTGGCAGCCCCTCGTCCTCCTGCAAACGTTCCTCCTCCACATGTCCCCGTGGCTGCGCATTATCCGTCCGTGCAGCCCGTTGATCCCGCTCCCCCATCCACGGGTGCGGCGTACTCGTTCTCAGCCCTTCTGGGGCCTCAGCGTCCGGTCGCGGTTCCGGAGGTGACCCTTGGTCAGATCTGGCGCCTCTCAGAGGCGCTGCGGGTCGTGCATCTGGTGCAGGTGTATGGTCATGCCGCCCTGTCCCAGGGCGACTCACTGGTGGGCGGCCCTCGGGACGATTGTTTCGTGGCAGCTGATCGCCTCGCCGAGCTGCTAGCGCCCGTGTTGGCTGCGCCCGCGCCGGGTGGGCTTGCGGGGGTCGGGCCCCTTGGTTCTGCTGTGCGTGGGCTGCGGCGGTTGTTGCATGCAGGGACTGGATCCGGGGCGATCGCCGCAGGCACGGTGTTGGTGCGTGAGTTGCATCGCACGCTGTCAGGGCTGCTTGCTGTGTTTGATGCGGATCAGGTCTAGCGTCCGCGTGCCCCGGGAGCTCGCCGCGTGTAGATGCGGGCTCCTCTTGCTCCATGCTTCACCTAGGCTAGAGTGGTGTGTGCCATGCGTGTATGTGTGCCTATAGTTGCTTGTTTTGTGTGTTTCTTGCCACCCCTCACGCGCGGCCGAAGGCCGCGCCGTCGAGCGTCGGCCGCCGAAGGCGGTCGGCGCGAGGCGCTCGGTTAGGAGAGAAACCCAACCAAAAACTGAATAATAAAGAGGCCACAAGGCCTGCTGAGGCCTTTATACTAGGACCAGGGAGGCTAGGGAGGCTAGGGGAGGCTTGAGAGGCTAAGTCACTAGGTGCTTCTCTCTCTCTCTCTCTCTCTCTCCTCTCTCTCTCGCTCGGTTAGGAGAGAAACCCAACCAAAAACTGAATAATAAAGAGGCCACAAGGCCTGCTGAGGCCTTTATACTAGGACCAGGGAGGCTAGGGAGGCTAGGGGAGGCTTGAGAGGCTAAGTCACTAGGTGCTTCTCTCTCTCTCTCTCTCTCTCTCTCTCTCTCTCTCTCTTTCTCTCTCTCTCTCTCTCTCTCTCTCTCTCTCTCTCTCTCTCTCTCAAGCGGTCCTTGTATTGATATAACGGGTGAGTACAAATGATCGAGGCAGAATAGAAACAGGCAACACCAGAGACTAAAAGAACAACCTAGCAGCAAACCAGATCCTAAGAACAACCTACAACCCCTCCCACCAACCACCACCCCCCCCCCCCACTGGAAGCTCCTAAGGGGGCTCAGCAGTAGGTTCGAGCACCACAAAACAGTCCCCCAGGGACATTTCCTCGCCAGGAGCCCCGACAAGAGGGTTCTGGGCCTCTACTGCCATGTTGCACTTGGCCAAGTAGCTTACGGCCTGCGCGCGCTGAAGGGCGACCGACCATCTCTGGCGGAACTGGTTGAGTAGTTTTGCCGCCTGGTAGGTTGAAGGGTCGGCGTTGAAGAGCTTGCGTGCAGCCGTGTGGGCCAAGAGCTTGAGGAAAGCGGGGACCTCTGCGCATGGGCAGCCATAAGTCTCGACTGCGAGGGGTACGAATGAGACGTAGGCTGCCGGGGAGCCGCTGTAATCTGAGATTTTTTTGTCAGCGGCTTCCCTGGCAGCCCACCCCCTCCCTTTCAACGCATTGGGGTCGCGCGTGCTGATGGGGTCAGTGATGGTGACGTCCCCGATCCATACTGCCCCTGAGGACCGATCACGAATGGCGAGGTCCGCTGTCTTCCTAGTGACCGGGCAGAACTCGGCCGTTTCCTTGTGCACCATGAACCCGGCGTACTGTGCCATCCTAATGCACTCATCCCTCAGCTCGTTGTGAGTATTTGTCCTTCCCCAACCTGTGGCGCAGCGTAGCAGATGGTTTGGGAGCCGATTGTCTGGGATGGGAACCTGCTTGGTGCAGTCACAAGCGCCGGGGGCTGAAAATGGTAGTCCTAGCCTGAACTGTAGGGCTGTGGCAAAGTGGGGACCGTCGAGCCTCAGGGAGGGCATGAGCGGGACTGCATGGAGCCAGTCCCCGGCTCCGTACCCTGACAAAGAGAGAAGGCGCTGCGTATGGCCGCTATTGTGGTTTGGGGTCATGCCCCGTGTGCTCTCCACCTGGTTAGCATACCTTCTGCCCTGAACTGCCAAAGCTAGCCCCTGCTACAGCTTCACACCCGTGGGAGCAGCCCTGTCACTCTGTAGTAGCTCCCCGGCATCACTCGGTAGGTCTGCCTCGCACTGAGCTAGCCAGCGGTAGAGAGCGCAGGAGTCCGTGTACGGTCCCATCATCTGCACCCGTGTCCCTGTCAGGGGCCCCAGCTGGCTATCTTCAAGGGTTGAGAGCAACTGCTGTGCCTGGGTAAAGCTAGCTAGGTAGCTGTAGCTGCCCTCGACCGCGGGGTCAGTGATTCCGAGGCCCCCGAGTGATACTGGCAGCGAAGCTTGGGACCATGTACGAGAGATCTCAGCGTCACCCCGCGGATGCCTAATGCCACATGCCGTTAACAGAGTCTCAAACAACTGCCTGCCCCAACTGGACCACTCATACAGAGGCATATGCATGAGGGGTGTGGTCCGGATGAGGTAGGAAACTCGTCTTGAGATACACCTGGAGAGTAGCAGGGCAGCCAGCTGAGGTTCCATCCGTGCTATCAGGCCAAGAGGTGCCGCCATGGAGCTAAGGTTTGAACGAATGAAGTCTGCTGTGGCCTCATCGGAGCCTATGAAACTGCCTAGCAGCTTCACGCCGTTTCCAGTGAACGGGACACCCTGGGGTAGGGCAGAGGTGGGGATGCCTGACTGTGACCAGGCCGCGCATTTAGATGGGTTATGATGCAGGCCAATTGGCATGAGGCTCTCAGTGAAGTGCTGAAACGCTGCAACGCAGGTAGAGTGCTCCCCTAGGAAGGTGACGTCGTCTGCGTACGCTAGGCAGGCTACAGTAGGGAAGGCTTGGGCTGTAGCTTGCAGCGCGGGATTGATTGCCGCTGCAAACAGCAGTGGCCCAAGAGGGTCTCCCTGCCGAACTCCTGTCATGCTTAGCAGGGGCTCATGCTTGAAGCCCTCGTCCAGGTAGAGCGGTGAGGGGGCCCCGTAGGTGAGCTGTACTAGTGGTAGTAGTGGTGCTAGAGCCGAGTTGTCTAGCGCGGATGCTATTGCAGCTCTGTTGACACTGTTGAAGGCGTTGGCTAGGTCTGCCTGGAGGACTAGTGCGTGAGGATTTTCAGATAGGTAGGCGCGGGTGATGTGGATAACCACCTCCGCTCCCCCAGGCACCGCCACGCCGAACTGGTGTGGCATGAAGAATTTTCTTGCCGCCCCTGCTGTCAACATCAGAGCTGTTTTGGCGGCGAGTCTGGTGATGCTTTTACCAATAGCGATCGGCCTTGTCCCTCCGTCTGGTTTGGAGAGAGCCAGTAGGCGAGACGCTGTGAGGAGCCTGGCGACTGTGGATGGCAGTTTCCCTGTCAGAATGGTGTTGACCATTGCGTGGATGTTTGTCGCTACTGACTGGTTGACTAGACACGCCTCCCGCACATGCTCGAATGTTAGACCTAATGGGCCCGCCCCAATCCCATTGTCACAGCGTGACAGAACTCTGAGAAACTCGGGCAGGGTGGCTGTCAAGTGGGCGTTGGGGTCAGGTACCGGCCAAATGACGAGCGCTTCAGGAGCAGGTGGGTGCTTGGCGCGTAGTGCTTCCAGGATTGCTGGTGACGGGGTGCACACCGGCGTCGCCTCCAGGGCAAGAACCGCTCTCCTTAGGCTGCCACGTCGCGCAAGGCCCTCTGCCCTTGCAATCACTCCTAGGTCATCGGGGGTATGCCTGGGCGCTTGAGGGTTGGTCAGAGAGTCGAGCAAGTCAGAGTACAGTGCACTCCACTCCCCCGCCAAGAACTGTCGTAATCTTGCTCTGACTGCTGGCCAATCCGGTTTTTGAGGAGTGTGTTGTCTCAGCGTCAGGCGTGCGAGGAACAGGAAAACTGTCCATGCTGTCAGTGATTCTGGGTTGTCAGCCAGTCGGAGCAGAGGGGCTAGCAGCGCAGTCGCGAAAATTGGGCGGATGTCCTGTGGGAGGTGGCGTGGCAGGGGTGCGTTGCGAGTGTCGCAGAGTTTCGTCAAGTCCCAAGTTTCCACGGCCGCGAAAAGCGTGTTATCAGTAGCCAGTGCCTCTGGCGATTTTTCCTCCAGCGGTGGTGGGAGAGTTGGCTGGGTGGTGGTGGGTTGGGTTCGGCCAGGAGGGGCGTGCCGACCAGTTGGTGCAGGATTTGGCGCGGCTCGGGAGGGGGAAATGTTTGCAGATGCGGTTCGGTTTCGGGGGCCGGCCAAATTTCTCGATGCGGTTTGGCTTGATGTCGCGATTCTCTCCTCAGGCAGGCACAATTCCTCTTCGACTGCGTCTTCCTCTGAGGACTCAGCTACCTCTGTGGGAATATAAGTAGCGTCTCGAGCTTCATCCTCTTCATTAGTTGCTTCTCGAGTTAAAGCCCTTCGCGCTGCTCGTTGGAACCCGTTCTCTGGTCCGCCGTTTCGTCCACCCGTGTTCCGCTGCCCCGCGCCTCGTCCTTGCGGAGATGCTTGTCGCGCTTGGGGACGATCTCGTGTATTCGCCAAGGCCCTTTGCCGTGGCGTCAGCACTCGTTGCCCCTCCCGCTGTATCGGCACCGGCTCCGGCGCCTGCGGGGATGTCGCCCCCTCCTGATCCTGTGTCTGCGCCGTCGCCTGTGCCTCCCGCTGACCTGGCCCCTGCGCCTGTTGTGGCGCCACCCCCTGCCGTGGCGTCGACGTCCGGGCCTACTGTGGTGACAGCTCCTGCTCCTGAAGTGGCGCACCTCGGCGCACGCGGTGTGGCGTCTGCTCCTGCGCCTGCTGCGGCGACTGCACCGGTGCCGGCAGCCGCGTCTGCTCCTGCGCCTGCCGCGGCGCCTGCTCTGGCGCAACCTCCTGCGCTCGCTGCTGCGTCTTCGTATGCGGCTGCTGTGGCGGCCTCCGTGCCGCCACAGGCTGCGCCCGCCGGGGCGCCTTCTGCTTCTGCTGCTGACCCGTCTTACCAGCCGCCTCCAGCCACCAGCGCCGTCCTGTACCAGGCGGGGGATGCCGTTTCACCGTCGGCTCCTGCGTCATCCCCTGCTGCCCGGCCGGCTCAGCGTCATCCGCATCGCAACTATGCTGGTGTGTGCTGGGAAACAGCCCGTGGTTGGATCGGCGATATCGTGTTCCAGCAGTTTGCATGTGGTGTTTTTTTCTGATTGCCCACTGTTTCCGAGCTGCCACTAATGTTCCGCAGTTACCCGATTTCCGAAACGTGTTGCCACCGATCAGTTTCCGGGCAATCTGCCCAAATCCCTGGCGGTTTGAGTGACGGAATCAACGCGGTTAATTACGGTGTGGAGGGGTTCATTATTCTTGCTTGATGGTCGAACTTCACTGTACTCTATATTATTTTTACATCATTCTAAAATTCTCCAGCAGTTGTAAGTGTTGTAAGTTCTGCTTCCGGTTCATATATTTAGACAATCACTAGAATAGAATGAAAGGTTGCAAACAAATTATTGACGTGTTACTCGACTAATTAATTGAAGCAGTCTGTACCTGTGCTAATTCGTGATTTACAATTTGGATTTCTTGTCTAAATATCCTCATCGAGTTATTCGTATTTGCTACAATATAAAATCACACTAACAAAGAGTACACGAGTGGGTTACCAAGACAACAACCGTTAGCGACTAGTACTAACGGTAACCAGCTAGGGAAGCCGTTCGGACGGCTCAAATTTTATGCGCGACAGATCGTCCGGGAACTTAGTTCGCCGGAGTCGCAGCCCTCACGTGCGAAAATCGCACCAACGGTTTGGCTTTGTCGAGCAGAGGGGTGAAGGTTTGCAAGGGGGTACTAGGCGGTTTCGGGTGGTGACGCAACTTTGTAATAGGTACAGGTTCCCGTATAACGGCCCACTCCAACTCCATTATTTCCCCCCTCACAACTTGAGTTAAGTTTCCTTCCCCGCCATGGCGTCGCCCTTAAAACCCGCCGTCCCGCTGGAGCCGCCCCTTTCTACTCAATCCCGCCCACTTTTTTTTTAGTTTAACGAAGCCAGTCGACCCATGCTACGCGCGGCTTGCACGAACGTAGGGTGTGCGTTCCGGTTGTTAAGGCAGATCACGGCCCGCGAAAATATACCAGTCCTTCATGAATAGCTTGATATTAGGGACCGTGGAAACATACCTGCGACTTCGTCGATGCCCCGTCGGAAGCGCCTCGTGCCGACGCGTGCTATAGGGCGCGAAAGTGATGCGGCCTGAGGGTCCAGTAGGGTCAGTACTTTTTTTTTTTTGTTAATGTTGCCCATTTTTAGTTTAGAGTCTTTGATTGGCCCCCTCTTGCCACTGAGCGCCAGAGCCGTTTGACAACTGTGGTCGATGCATGCAGGTCCAGGGGAACATGTTCAAGACCTTCCAAGTATTTTAGGCATGGCTTGTTAATTGCTTGCATGCAGGCTAGATCTCTAGATTTGTTCACCACTCTTGCGCCAGAGGATGCACTAGATCCTTGTATACACTACCATCATAATGGACTTTATATGTGGCTGTGGATTCATCTGCACTACTGGCCAGGGTTTGATAAATCACAAGCGTGTAGACATAGTCCTCATGCTTCGGATAGTGCCAATGCAAGGATACTAGAAGGGCTAAAGCGTAAACGTGAGAATGATGTGAACCGGCTGCTGCGTGCACGGATTGCGCCACGTGGAGCAGCATGTCCGCCTTTGACCACCACTAGTGGAGCACCTTTTGCGCAAACCGGCGTTAACACCCCCCCGTTTGAGTTTCCGACATCGCCCGATAGCGATGGCGACGACGACAACATCGAGTTCTCATCAATGGATGCTACTGCAGACTCTACTCCACAGAAACTTCCATTCGACACTGACCTGGCTTTGGCAAAAGCGATCCGTGGGTTCAATGGAGGCATGGGGATGTCGGCAACGGACATTAACACGTTACTAGGCGTGTTGCATGAGGCCGGCTACTTGAAGCCATCATACAAGAACAGCGCAGGCTTGGCGAGGTATGAGAAGGCCTTACTGGCGGAATCTACGGGCACGGTGGAATGGAGAGCGGTGGAGGTGGTGTTGAGCAATGGCATGAAAGTCACAGTGCACGTAAGCTCCATGGTGGAGGCTTT